TCCATATTTTCTAATTTCTCTGTGACATTGTTTCAACAACTATAAAATGGGAAAAGTAAGTAATAACATCTATGTCACAGCGTTCACATAAGCATTAGATAAGAATGGTAAATGTTCAATAATGATACTTAGAGCATCATAACAATAAAAGTAGTATTTACCATAAAGTTTAATTTACCCCAGAATTTGAACTCAATCTCAGTTTTCAATTAGTTCCTTCCATCACTTTACTGGTCTCCTCTAAACAAATGTGTTACGATAAAAAGGTCATTACTTGTTTTGTCACTTCTCTGTGTACCTTGAGGCAGTAAATATTCTAAAAATTTATTAAATGCAGCTTTAAAAACTTCTGTTAGTACATTAAAGATGTAAACATGCTTCACATGGCTTTTTGGTTTATAAAATGCAGAATGTCTAGTTCTTAAATAGTTGTAAATATAAAGGATACACATTGATACAAATTTTTGGAAATTCATATTTCCAATTCTCATCTCATAGTGTGTGGTTAGAGGCTGAAACTTCTCCATTCACTCCACCTCCACCATAAATATATATTATAACATATATATTATAAATTATATAGCATATAGTGTTCTTATTCTTTTTATTATTATTGCAGTAACGGGGATCAAACTAGGGCCTCTCACATACAAGGAAAGTGCTGTACCACTAGGTAGCATCACCAGCCTCCCCCCATATCTTAAAATTAGCTAACTTTGGATCTTAATCTCTACTGAGACTACTCTATAATTTTTTAGAATTCCGTTTCCAGTTCTCTCTCTCTTCACCTTTCTTATTCCCAAGTTTCTTGTTTATTTTATAGATACCTTAAGCCTGATTTTTAACTAAATAACAATTTTGATTTCCTCAAATTTCCCAAAAAATAAATTTAAGTTTGCAGGGCAGCTGACATTTTTGTGTTAAGTAGTAAACACTTTTAGAGCCAGGTACGGTGACTCATACCTATAATCCTAGCTACATCTAAGGCTGCGACAGAACTGTAGTTCAAGGACAACCTGGGCAAATAGTTTGTAAGATCCCACTTCAGCCAATGACGGGACATGTGGTGCATGCCTGTCATCCCTACTATTGCTGGAAGCATAAAATAGGAAGGTCTCTGTCCAGGCCTGCCTTGGCAAAAAGCAAGACCCTATTTCAAAATAATCAGAGCAAAGGGGCTGAGCATGACTCAAGTGCCTACCCAGCAAGCACAAAGTACTAAATTCTAACCTCAGTACCACAGGGAAAAAAATTTAAAAGGAGTGAAAAATTAACATAATTATTATCTTCATGACCATTGATAGCAAAGAAGATAACAAATGAAAGCTCAACCACCGATGATCTTCATTAAAAAATGTCATCTTAACTTTCCTTCAAATCTTCTTCCTGTTGCCCAGTTATTTTAAATGATATTCATATAACTATAGATGCAATTTAATCAATGTAAAAGGGAATAAACAACAATTGTCATTGCTAGTTTGAAATGTAGTATTTTATGCCACTTTCACTGACACATAATATTTCATTTGTCATAGCAAATATTAAGAAAAAAAGTTACAGGTAAACTCTCTGTTTTAAGACCATAAATACTTCTTGTGTTAGAGGGTCCATTATCAAGAAACAAAGATAGTTTTAGGGATATCAGGTATGTATTTTTGAAACTCACCACAGTTTAAAGAAACTAATCAGCACTTGTTGGAATTACCCAAGAATCTTGCCAAAAAGAGAGAGAGGGGAGGGAAAGAGAGAGGAAAAAGAGTGAAGTCAGACTCAGGTAAGTAGCTCAAATAGTGAAAATTATCAAAATGTTCCTCTCCATAAGAGGAAAAACCACGTCAGGCACTGGTGGCTCATGCTATAATTCTGGCTACTTGGGAGGCTGAGATCAGGAGGATTGCAATTCAAGGCCAGCCTGGGAAAACAGTTCATGAGACTCCAATCTCCAAGTAACTACAACAAAATGAAAATGAATGGGGGTGTGGCTCACATGGTAAGACTGCACCAGCATACTTCCACTTTATTTGAAATTCAGATTTCATCCTAATTGTGAACTGAAATTCAATTACTTGTTCATCTAACAGCAGATGTTAGCCAATTGTCTTGAGAAGAGAAAGTCTATATAGGAAGAATGTTTAAACAGTTCCTGAGAAAATATACAATCACAGGTTTTTTTCAGGGTTACCCCTCCTGTTCCCCACTCTTAAGCTTCACCAAAAATCTACCTATCCATAGAAAAGGACAGAGATATACAAACTAGTTAAAGTCACCTTAAAAGTGAGTTTATAAAGAAGTACTCACTTGCTCTCCAAAGTTTAGTTCCACAGAACAAAGAGTTATGCATTATAGTGTTAGGTTAAAAAGTAAAAGACTTCAAAAAGCTCTTAAACAAAACACTTGATGTTAAGTATGCCATCAACACACCAAAATGCAGTTCCTAATCTGTTTGAAGAAGACTATAGGACTTTGTTAAACTGGCAGCCAATTTAAAAAAAGAAAAAGAAAGAAAGAAAAAACTGACAACCATTAGTTGCTTTTACAGGTTAAATCTTGTTGAAGGTACCTTACCCCTCAGAACACTTTGATTTATTTAAGCTCACCACAGTTCTCTTAAATACACTCCATTAACAAGTGATAGACTGTGATCTTAGGCTTGAGGCAAGGCATGAAACACAATCTTTCAAGAAGTTCGTTCATTCCCTGACCAGGTGTCCTAAGCACACCCAAGTCACTACTCATAACCTTATTTAGTTCTGTGAAGTGCTATTCAAATCAATAGTGTTGCTTTGCAACAACACACTCTCAAAAAATCATCCTAGCATCCCAATAATAAGATGGGCCTCTCAAGTTCAGATTCACCATGAGTGAAAGTTATCAGATGAATGATAAAAACTTCCAGTTAAATATGATCAACTCACAAAGACACCTCTGGCCTAGAACCTGACAAAATGTGGATAAGCACACTGATATGAAAACTAGTTTTATAAAGACAATCAAAGGTACAAATGGAAATTAAATAAGAAAAATAACAGAAGAAATTAGTTTAGTTCTAAGATTCTAAATGCTAAATCAAATACTACTAGTCAAATTATTACATATGATAGGCTTGTCCACCCCCACATTTCTCCAAGTGAAGACAGAGTTCACATGCTGACAAGAACAGCTTTCAGTGATATCCTATTAGTATGACCCTATCTTTAATCTACAGCCATGATAAAATGTTCCAACATATACAAACTCAGCTCAAACAGTGACTAATGACCATTACCCCCCTATCTTCAGTAATCTGCTCCTACGGTCATTTATCACAGTGACACTTCACTTCACACACGTGAATAAACTTTAACGGAGAAGGTGAATCAACAAAAATCTCAAAGGTATCTGAAGCTGTAAATTAAACTAGGGGGAGGCAGAGCAAAGAGAGACAAATAGAGAGATCAGATCTTAATGTTTTTGATTTGCATCCATGGCTGGGGAGGGGGGCATGTTCAATCACTCAGATATGCAAAGAAGAGAAAAGCTGCCTTGCAGAAAAAGGAAGCTGAAAGTAGGAAAAGGTGGCCCCAAAGAGCAAATTTAAGCTACTCATCCATCCACTGTGACATATATGAGATAGGAGGCAGAAACTTCAGTTCTGCTTTCTTCAAAGGAGTAACAATTTAATGAAGTTCTCATTTAGCTTAGTTCAAATGTTTCTAGTAACTTTCAGCCAGGAAACACATCTTATGAGCTTAAATTCTTTTAGGGGTTGATTTGCTGACATTTAACTTATGTGGGCTTTTCTTCTTCTTTTTTCCTTTTCATATTCCATTAACTATTTGGCTTAAGTAAAATTCTTGGTCAAAGCAGAAAGGATCACCATAAACCACAAAAAGCTCAAAGTAACATTCAAAACTATTTCATAATTATGCAAATTGGGTGACTGTAACCTATAAGCCCTGATGCAACTTGAAGCTGAGTATAGGACTAAAGGGGGGAGGGGGAGGGAATGTGGAGGGAGAGCGAAGGAGAGAAACAGAGCAAGACAGAGACAGAGGCAGAGAGAGAGACAGAGAGAGACAGAAGCAGAGAATGAGTTAGTTTTAAGGCCTGAAATTGGATCCGTGATTGAAACCAGAATTTACCAGAAGAAACAAACGTTGAGTTCACCTATAGTAAAAGTTTCTTAGGAAGTACAAGAAAGTATTTCCAAGTGCACACACAGTAGAGTGCCAGTGCGTGCTCTTACGCCAGACGGTTCCCCTTGCAGCATCTTTCCAACACTTCATACGGAGTTTCAGTACTATTTAATTAATCCTAAAAATCCTAATTCAGCCTTCTGTTCTCCCTAGCCAACAAGAATTTCCAAGCAACTAACTGATACTTGCTACCGCCCGTTTTCTTTCTACACCAAGTCAGGCACTGGCTAGTTTATATCCTACCCACCTACCAGAAGGAGTTATTTCCTGAAGTTTCTTGAGAATGAAATTTAATTACAGACTTTAGTTACAGATAACAAGTACTAATAACCCCTTGTGCTCGGAAGAGGAGGGACGAATTGGAAGACCAGGTCCTGGAATCCTGGTGGGTATCTGGATTACAAATCCCCGCCACTACTGTCCCCCAGCAACTCCCCCAGGGACCAGCGGGTGGATGATGTTGGCTTGGACTCCTCCTGGGGTCCAGCTCACCTCCGACCGCTGCCTGGTTCACCCCTGCGCTTAGACACGCGTTTGCCTGGAGTGAGCTGGGCGTGCCCCGAACTTGGCGAAGTCGAGGTCTGCGAAGAGGTCTGGGGAGATTGTGGGGTTAGGATGGGGTGGGGGAGGGTGGAAAAGGGACAACCTCAGTGCGAACTAGGAGCCTTTCAGCCTAAAAGTTCTGCAGAGATCGAGATTCACTCCACCCCACCCCATCCCCGGCCTTAGAAGGGAGAGGTTGCCAAAACTACAGTTCAGGGTCTGATTTTTTGAAAAGCAGACGAGCAAGGGAGATGAAGGGTGAAGAAAGAAGACTCGGGTTACCTGAACAGAGACATATTAATCCAAAGAGGTAAAAGTGAGCAGACTCCGCGATCATTGTCCTCGGGTAGATCCTGCATACAGTCTCATGCCAAGAGAAGGGAGTAGAAATGGGGTCCCCCAAATTTATGAAGGCACACACCCTACACACAAAGGCTTAATATAAGCAACGTGGGTCAATAGCCAGGAGTTTTTAGGGAAATTACTTGTAGACCTCTCCAGACGCTTGTCAGTATCTCAGAGCCCTTTGCAAAGGGAGAATTCCAAGGCTGATCTTCTCTGGCCCCAGGGTTTCCGAGGAGGCTCAGCCACTTCCAAGGACCATCCAAAGCGAACAACAAAGAGCCTAAGCAGAGGAGCAGTTGTGCCGTTTCCTGCCTCCACAGTCTCACTGAGCCTTCTGCGTGCGCCCCCACAATGTGTGCCCGAGCGCCGTTGCGAGGGCAGGCGCGGCTGCGGCAAAGTTGGGGTGTGAGAACAGATTAAGAAGGGCCAAAAAAAGTGCTTCTCAGTCCACAGGCGAGCCCGGTCCGCAGCCGGTCACCCGCGCGGGAGGCGATGGCAGTCAGGGTAAAGGCAGCAGTTCTGGAGGACCCGCTCGGGGCGCTGGGGGTGCGCCTGGGTGACTCCGCGCGCAGCGGGCGAGCGAGGGGGCGGTGCGGCGACAGAGGCGGCCTGGGCGGGTCCTTGTTCCCATCACTTGGGGGATGCGGAGGAGACTGGGGACAGCAACAGGACCGCAGATGCACGCACGTCTTCCGAGCGCCCCCAGCCCCGCGCAGCGCCCAACATTGCCCCGGGTCCTTCTTCCGCTGGGGCACGCGCGCAGGGTACCCCAAACCACGCTGGAGCTCAAAGTTCTTGGGGGTGTCGGCCCTCTCCCACACTCCTGGTAGCTACAAAAGGGAACTCCCAGAGCTCCCCCGGGTGAAGAAGCGCGAGGTGGAGGATGCTGCGGGTGGGAGCGCCGGCCGCCGCGGCTCAGGAGCTCCGCCAGGAGCTGCAGCGTCTGAAGTTTCTGCTCTCACGCTACCTCCTCTCGGGCTCAATTGCTTGTGGGTTTCCCCCGCCGTCCCCGAGGCTCCCAGTTTCCTCCCTCTGCAAGCCTGGCCAGGGATCACTTAAAGGGGCCGCGCGGTCCTTTCCTTGCCTCACTTCAGGCTCTCCAGGCTTTGGTTAGGCAAGTTCTGCTGGTTAATATTTTCATTCAGAAGCCGGGGGTGCCCGACTGCGCCCTCAGGTGAGGATCAAACCGTTCTGGAGCGGAAATCTAAGCGAATAAGAACTTGTCTGGTTTCTCTTGCCACCCCTGACTCCCCTGCACCTTTCTCCAAATGGAACCTCCCAGCCAAAGACTTCAAAAATCCTCCTGGTCCAGCTTAACCTCTTCCTTACCGCTTAAACGGGTTGGAATAAACTCCCAAATTACTCCACCCTCCCTTCTCCGCATTTCCATGTTTTAAAAAATCGAATTTGAGCAATGCACCATTAGAACAGTTACAGAGATAACTATCTAGAATGTATCAGTAGGTGAACACTCTCACAACATTCCCTTTCTTTTTTGGAAGTTGTTGAGGGTCCTAACTAAAGTCTATCCAATTCAAGGGGCCTAAAGCTAGGCCATGAGGTCCTCTTGGTATTCTTACAAGAGAGCCTCTTCTCCAACTTCATAGACCATTCGTATTAGAAAGTTAACAATGGGGAAGCAATTAAGGAAGAGTGACAAATCAGGGGAGATCCTTTATTAGTCCAAAGCTTGCACTGATGAGGAGTCATTCAGAATTTCAAAACTAGTGGGAGCCCAGCTTGGTAGTTAGTTATTGGCCCTGTCACCATACCAGGTCTGTTTTCTATTCTGAGAAAGAGAGACTGTGTAGCTACTCTTGATCTTAACAAATAGTACCTAAAGTAAAACAAACTTGTAACATCTGACAGGCATTCATTCATTCATTCATTTTTCTTTCTATTAAAGAAGACACTATGGAAAACACAGAGCACATACTGGCGCTTAGAGCTATTCTTTTTATAAAGAAACTACTACCTACAAAGCACATATCATAACTTCCAAATGATTATTTAATATCTTTGCCTCTGGAGGTGAGGATGACACAGTGGATGGTGCAGGAGAGGAGGATTTGGGTTTTTTCTATGTATTGTTGTCTTTTTCTATTTTTTTTAAGTGAGTGCAGAGTGCATGCATTACCTGATGAAAAATAAAAAGTTGAAAGCAAGTTTATTTTGGTGGCTGCTAGTGTAGCCAATGACCTCAGAGCAAATTCTGTGAAAAGAAACTGGTTAACAGCACCTATCTTTGAAAGTGAAAGATAGTTTAATCCTGAGAAAGCTGACTAAAAATTCAGTAAACAGGCTAGAGATAAGAATTCAAAGACTCCAACTAGAATCTCTTCAGCAATAAAAACAAGAATGTGCAGTAAATGTTGAAAGACATGCATCGATTTAGTCTTTGTGAAAGGATATTTAGCAAGAGGCATAGAATACAACTTTTTTCTTAGATTAAAATGTGCTTTTAGGATAATCTTACCTACTAATAGAGAATAAATAAGCCAAAACATGGTGAGAGAAAGAAAGAAAGAGAAAATCCTTTAAATCCTCATATCATTTAAGTGGATTTTAAATAAAGATTTTGAACTTCCTCTTAAGGCAGCATGCATACTTTTATTTTTATTTATTCATTTTTTGTGTGGTTTAGGAGATTGAACTCAGGATCTAATGCATACTATTATTAGCACTGAGCTCTACTCCTGAGCTATACCCTAGCCCAAAAATATGTACTTTTACACATGAAGTAGAATATGTATAAAAATATTTATGTGTAAAAGTAGAATATGTATAAAAATACCTATTGCATTGTTTCCTCAATGGGTCTCCTGGTCTTCAAAAGTTTGCCAAAATCTATTAAGATCTATTTTACCATTTATCACATTATCATTGAGTGGAAACCATATTAATACTGGCTTTTATTTCTCAACTTTCATAAGCTATACCCATCCACCTCGTCTTTTCCAGCCCTAGGGATGGAGTAAGTAACTTCCAGAACAAACTTTTGGTCATTAGGACTACCTAATGGTCTGTTGCTCTTTTTTTCTTCCCATCTTCTCCAAAGGGTACTTTTTTCTGTCAATTATACCAATAAAGTTGACATCTAAAGATAAGAAATTTGTAATCAGGGGGTATTAAGGACCTATAGCAAGTGACAGTCAATGTACCAGAGAACTTTCATAACCACTTCCTTTCACTCACTCACTTGCTTTTATCTATGCAAGCACCGAACGAACAAATCTATAAGTAAATAAAAAGTGTTGCAGGTGAAAGATGCAAATGTAATCCTATTCCCCAGGCCCAAAGAGCCCTTATTACTGGGAGCTACACAAAGAATAAAACAGACTCCATATTTGAATCTGTTTGAAACATAAAAGTGCCATTGGGGTGAAATGATAGTTCAGTACATTCCTGGAGATGGATTTATCATAGCAACTTGTCACCTTGTCCTTTTGTCACTGACCATTAAATTACCCAGAAGAATGCACAAAATGCTCAATGTGTCTATATGAGAGTGTGTGTGTGTGTGTGTGTGTGTGTGTGTCTAAGTGTAAGTGTAAGTATAGGAAACATACTGAAGTCAGGTCTTTGGGCAACTCAGACACAGACAACAGAATTTATTCCAGATTAGCTGGAAGGCAAGGAACAAGGTAAGGCAAAAGTATCTTAATTTGCATTTAGGAATTCTATTCTGATCACTATGATCAGGATGAGTGGTGTACTTTCAAGTTCCATTTATAGACTTGTGATCTCATTTGGAGGCTACAAAATTCAGGATCGCTAAAAATAATACATTCCATTTGTCCCACCACTAGAGACTTTTTATTTTTGACAAACAAAACTTAAGGCAGTAGTGATCTCTTGGGTTGCTGTGCTCTGATTTTTATCTTTCTTGGGGGTAGCTGCAGGAATTCAGGAAGTAACAAAACTCCCAGGCAGGTTCTCTCCAGGGATCCCAGATACAACTTATTCTAGAATATCAGGAGAAGCAGAGTAGAGTTCTGAAGGAAACTACAAACAACAGCATCTGTCTGTCTTCCTCCTTAGCAAGAAGCCTTAGAATGAAACAGAGCCTGGGATACAAGCCACAAGTTCTAGCAGATCTGCTGAGCAGATCTGGTGAGAAGTACACATTTAAGGCTGTGTTGAATACTCCACAATACCATCCCTCAGGGTACAACAGCTAGTTTAGCAATTTTTATGCCAAATTGCTGGATAATCTGTGCAATTCTTGGTATCTAACTTAATGACCTAAAATGAATATTTGAAAATATTCCCAAGTCTGGAGATATAAGTCCCATGTCAGAGAGTAGTCTAAAGTAATCCTAATAAAATGAGAGTAAATTCACATTTATTGAAGCATCCACTGTGTTTTGAGAGGCCAGGTCTATTTAGTTTCTTTTATATGTACATAGGGCACATTTTAACAGCATGATTTTTGTTTGCTTCTCTGTCTTTTATAACAGCTAATTATGTACTCCAAACCAGAAAACCATTAGGAGAAAAGATTCCCTGGGTTATTCATCTTCATCTACTTTAAGACTTAAGTCATTGTCAATGAGGTGAGTACTTTCAGAACAACATTTAAAAGTACTACAGAACCCCATTGGTCTCACCTCATCATGTACTCCAGTCTTACTAAGGCTCCTTAAGGAGTATTAAAAATATAAAGTATATCCAATCAAGTTCCCCGTAGAATACTGTGATCTCAGAATCGTGGGGACATCTAGGTATTCTAAAACTAGGCTCTATATTGCTAAACTCTTTTGATAAAGCCTGGTAACTTAGTATCAACAGCAATGTGTCTCACTATAATTTACACCTTTAATGTTAACAGATGGTTAGTTTTTGAAGATAAAAAAGAAGGCACAGTGAATTAGCATTAATTGAGGGCACTGTTTGGGGCCCTTTACAAATATTATCTGATCTAGTTCTTACCAAGTGAGGTGCTATCATTATCCCAATTTGGATGAGGTTAGAAGAGTAAATGATTAATTCAAAGTTCAGCAGCC